CTCACATCAATGGAAATACACTCAGTGTATATCAAATGTACCAATCATGTATAGACACAAAATGTGAATTAGAATGTAAGTGGCTGCTGAGATCTCATGGAGAGCGAGAGAACCACAAGACTTGTTTTTGTCCCTCAAATAGTCTACCATTTTCTCCCGTCATAACGTTCAACTGTTCTCCTGACTTGAGTAACCATATTTGCAAGAAAAGTATAGGCGATGACAGGGGAGAATTGATACTCATTGCCTAAGTTCTATTAGGCAATTGCTCTATTATGCCACGTTTTACTAATTTTTAGATAGCTCAAAGTGAGACTTTTTGTTTCAGTAATTTGGTGATTATTTTCTTAGCCAATATAAAGTAAGGTAAACTATCCCCCAATCAGGAAAATCCAGAGAAACTGACACTGGTACACAATAATGACTAATTTTCACTGGGTTTTAATTTCACTGAATTTCAGTGGGTTTTAAATTCACGATTTTGTCATTTAGATAATGTGTTCTATGCTCAATTTTACATATTCACTAGGTTTTAAATTAGCACATTTTCCAGTCAGCAAAATAAGCAAAATTAAAACCTAGTGAATAATTAACCCTTTTACAGTATTTACTAATATGATGAAGGTAATGTTTAAAGTGCTAGCCAATATGCACCATATGCAGGCTTATAGTCAATCACCTGACTACGCCAATATGCACCATATGCAGGCTTATAGTCAATCACCTGTCTACCTGTCAGGCACTCCATATATGCAGGCTTATAGTCAATCACCTGTCTACCTGTCAAGTACTCCATATATGCAGGCTTATAGTCAATCACCTGTCTACCTGTCAGGCACTCCATATTTTACACAAGTACACATTTTTTTTATTTGACAGGCTAAATTTCTTCAAACCTGTCATGTTTGATTGAAAATATCCCATAATTTGCAAAATAATCATAAATATTTCGTCTGCGGCTACAGACTAGTAACTCTTAACTTCTCTAAGTGCAACACTGACCACAAGTTCAAATATCAAATTCATATTTTATTACTCATGTTTGCATAGAATATCAAACAATTGAGTTTTTTTCAGTTTTATCTACAATGTTATACTTACAAATAATTCTTATTGAGTACTCTACTACAAGTGGCTGGGTCCAATCCTAGCAAACTTTCACATCGTAGTAAATCTATAGACATACCACCATTATGTAACTCTGGATCCAGCGTGATGTCTTTGTTGTGCCTGAACAGAAGAAAAAATACAGGGCTTTGCATCAATATATTCTGTGATGGTTTTAACATAAAATGTATAAGTTGAGAGATAACTATGTGTTTTTGTAAATTGATAAATTGTCATTTAAGAATTTGGTAAAATTCCAACTATCAGGGCAGTAGACACACAAAAGTGTATTATGACATAAAACGGGCTCACCTAAGTGGCCATAAGTTACATGACCAATCAGCCTATGGCTTTTATTAACAATGGACCCCCTAAGCAGGTAGAAACCATACAGATCATTTATTTAACCATGACCAACACATGTCTGCATGTTTCTTAATGACTGATCTATTATTAAAAACTACATTAATTAAAATTAATATAAATCATATTACATACTGTAAAATACTTTATTTTAGCTGGAATTAATTTTTGCTCAAATACTGTGGCATATCTTGTTTTTGTTTATTTAATTTTAAATTGCTGAATAATGAAATTATAAATATTATTTATCTGCATTGACTGACAAACAAAATGTCCTGTCAACTGTCAAGTTAAAGCTGGTTTTCGTAAACACACTGTCTCATATTTGTTCAAAACACACTACTTTATGTTCTATTGCTCATATTCTATTGCCTAAGCATGTTTTTGTTTTGAAAATCACCTATTAAAAACTGTAAATAATAATGTTGTTCATTCGTGATATAACTTGTCTTGGAATATAATCAAACAAGCAGCCTGCCGGCTGAGATAGCTCCGCTGTTAGCAATGCACATTTTAATTAAAGAACAGAAGAAATCATTAGAAAATGAACAATATGTATAGTATCAAAACAATCAGACTTGCGGTTTTCAACAAGAAGTCGAAAATATCACTTTTTACCAAAAATATTCACCAAAATTAGAGAATTAAAGATATCATCATGAAATGAACAAATCTGAGAGAGGTCCACATGTAGTACCTATATATGTAATATCAAAGGAAAGCG